ATTCATTTTTTTTTAAGAAAACTGATTCTGGAGATACACGTTTTTTTGTTTGTTTGGGGCCTCTATGGAGTTACAAGTTTTACATATCATAAAATTTAACAGACAAAGTAGAGGTTTGTAATTTTAAGAGCCATCCTTTATTAATAGATGGCACAATAATATTGTTTTCCTACGACCACTTAGGAAAGTGACACATATCACACTTTATAGTCCTATGGAAAGTGCCCTATATCACACGCGTATGAATAAGAATTTACTTTCCACCCGTGTGCGAATATGCTACTTTCCGCATCAGCTGCCACAAAATGTCAAACGCATCATTTCTATTTTGATCTATGATTAATATGGACATTAGTCCATATTAATACTAAAATCGATATGATTGTTAAATTATTGAAATTGTTGTAAATTAGATCCTAGATATTTATCTTTAATAATTATTATTAAAATAATAAAAAAAAAACTAAGTTATGTTTGCTTTTTATTCTGGTTAAATACATAACCGATTAGATCATTCAATTGACGCAAGGCCTATTAGCTCAGGTAGTAGAGTATCAAACTTTATCAACTTTGCCATTTGAGACCTGGCGAGCGACCGCGTTCAAATCCTTGCGGGGGCAGAATTTTTTTTTTATTTTTTGGTTTTTTAGTTTTTTTTTTGTTTAGAAAATATGAAAATTGAATAAATACGATTATTATTGATTGTTTTTTTGAATTAATTTTATTTATTGTAATATAAACCTCGTTTTACATTTCCGCATCAGCTGTCTCACAATGTCAAACGCATAATTTCTATTTTGACTTATGTAATGTCCATATTAACAGTAAAATCAATATGATTATTAAATTATTAAAATTGATGATTAACTTAGATCCTAGATATTTATTTTTAACAATTATAAAATAACTACATACATCTCATTATTTTGGCTTTTTATTCTGTTTAAACTTAAAATCGAATTAAAAATGAATTTGACATAAGACCCATTAGCTCAGGTTGTAGGGTAGTTGCAATTTGAACTTTGGCTTACACGACGGGTCCGCGGGCCCGCGTTTAAAACTTGGTGGTTGCAGAATTTTTTGTTTCTTTTTTATTTTTATTTCGAAAAATATGAAAATTAAATAAATACAATTATTGTTGATTATTTTTTTAAATATATTATAATTATAGTCGCACTCGGCTTGTGCCTCGTGCGACAATATTTCCCACTCGTGTGAAAAATGTTACTTTCCACACTCGTAATGTAATATACTATTTCTGTATAAAGTGGAGTTAGAAGGTTTTCATGTTGAGGTAACGATATACTTTAAAATTGTTTTATATTATTTCATATCTCGCAGATTTAATTAAGCGTCATTTGCATCTAACGTATGTAATATATGATGTAAAAAACGCACATACTACAAAACGAAAAAGTATACTATTGCCATTAACTGAACGAATATGTTTTATATTCATTCGATGTAGTAAGAACACTGCAAAAAAAATGAAATCCACCAATCAGTTCATATTTTGGTCACCCGACGACTATTATTTTTAATATTGTAAATGTGACAATTCTGTCAAACTAATTGTCAGTATATTGTTTAGTTATTGAACTTAAATATACATTAAAATGACTTATTTTGTGTAGAATCAATAAATAATAGCATTTCTATTTTTATTTATACTATAATTATAAATAATTTGTTAATTTTAATAAAACTTTATGAAGTCAATTCAATTACGAGTATTAAAAAAAATTACCAAATATGCCGGTGGATGGGTGGTGAGAGTATCTGACTTCCATGCGAGAAACTCAATTTTGAGCCTCGGCTGGGGACTTTTAAATCCATTTTTTTTCTTAGTTTATTTTATTTTAAACATTATTGAAAGTCATAAATTATTTTAAAATTAGTTATCTTGTCTTAGTAACCTAAAATATTTAATTTTATTTGTAAATTTTGGTTAGTGGGTCGTAGAAAAAAAATATACTGTACAACTCGACTGGATTGTCCATATCGCACTTAGACAATTTCGTCTTCGTGCGATATGGCCATCATATCCACTCTTGTTGCATAAACTACTATTTTCGTATAATTATCATTTGACTTAAAATCCAAAGTCACATAACATCAGTAAACGTAGAAGCATTGGCAACTTCGTATAAAGAAACCACTTCTGCATCCGAAACTGCTTGAATAGAAACGAGTTACTACGAAGGACCTTTAAATTGGTATGGTAATCTATCTCTCTCTCTCTCTATTTTGATGTTCTTTGTTAACTTTCGCATTTGTTGTGGGTATGTTATTGTCGCGCAAAAGCCTACCCTGTGCTTTGTTTACTCCTTGCCCGCGGTATGAAGTCTAGCAATATAGAGACAAATGCACCGCTTCGCGAAACTACCAGATTGATTCCTTTGCGTTTTCTGTCGTTCTGGAAAGCCTAGAGAGTTCTAGTACAGAGTTGGCTTTATATTAATAGCGCGAGTTGTCGACGGACGGCAGATTGAATTTAACTGTTGGACAGAAAATATAAATTGTAATAAATAAATTAGAATTGTGTGCCTAAGTATTATATAAATTAATTAGTACGTCATAAATAAATTGTAAATAGTGTTTTAAATAAATAAACTATAAATAAATTAAACAAACGATACATTATGTTGAGTATGGGGTATTATTGCACTACGACCTAAAAGATCTATGGTGTCCCCTCCTGTCGTTCATTCATCGAGGAAATAGCCTCGATGCCTATAATCACCCTTCCAATCCTATCCAGTTAGAATGTAAATGGAGGTTTCATCTTCCTCCTCACAGAATGTGTACTCGCTATCTTCAACTACTATCAGTTTACTAAGGCGTACTTTAAGTCGGTAATGCCCGGTAAGGATCCCTGTTACAATGCGTAGCCTGTTCTTGCTCAGGCTGATACAGGCTTCTGATCTTTTCTGGTTATAATCACTCAGAAGTATCTTAGCCTGTCTTAACCCCAATAGATTGTTCCAATGATCGGTTCTTCTACGGCCCAATTCTTTTTTAATCTCTCCGAATATTGTTACTGCGTATACCGCTGATTACGAAAGAGCTCAGCGCTTTGATGGCTGCTTGGCTTATCGGGCATGATGGATAATCTCTTGCCTGCAATAGTTTCTCTTGATGTTGAACTGGATACACTTCTTAATGGCGTGATTTTCCGCCTAGAAGATGTAAGGGTGTTCACCCAAACTTTCAGAGTGCCTGTTTCTAGGCCCATACACTCCTATTCCAGTTTATTCTATGGTTTTGGATGCCGTATACCACTGAATGGCATGCATGTCTTTCGGTTGCACGTACGATGGACTTTTGGTTCCATTTGATCTTTTTTGCAACCCAGTTCTGTGGTTTTGAAGTTTTCACATAACTGTACTTCTTTCACATTTCGTCCTAGGGCATATCCCTAGAACCTTCGGTCCTGAGGGTAATAGACTTTCGTCTGATTATTCAGTTCCTGATCATTCTATATATTGTCCTTTTTGCCACGTTCTCTATCATTAAATGTAGAGGGGCAAGGTTTAAAATCACCACCATTGCGGCCGTAGGACAGGTTTTCATTATTGTATAAATAAATATTGCTGTTGATTGAAGCTAAGTACCTATTCAAAATTTTAAAACTTGATTTCGAAATAATTTCTTTTAAAAACATGTGACATTAGAAAATATCTCATTTGAAAAACCTATTTTCGAAAAAATTGCATTAAACAAATTAGTCATTCGAAAATTTTGCATTCGAAACATTTTAGTGGACCCATTTAATACAGAATAACGCGTAAACGTTTTTTTTTAATTCCATTTAAGAATTATTAAGACATAATTTTCGAAGGTATTACAAAAGAAAATCAATGTTTTTCACCCCAAAGTTTTGTTATTAGTGGTATTTCCTGAAAATTTAACAAAAATCGGACTAAAAATAAAAGCTCAGAAGGAATTAGACATTTTCAACGTGTTCGGTTTGCTCTTACTGATTAAGGAAAGAGTGGCACGAGTGTGGGAATTAAATGTTACTGTGTGGTGAAAAAGAAAAGGTGTATGTATGTGCAGTGGATATATAACCCATCCTAGTTGCAGTTACAACAAATATTTGTTGCATTGAATTGTGTCATTTGGATGTAACGAGAGTGTGGCTCCTTTTTAACCGAGCCATAAGAACGAGATTGGTTTCACCGACGAATGCATATTCCAACGTGGAATTCGCTGTGAGTACAGTTAGTGAACCTTACCCAGCTCGTTTCATTTTTTTTTATGTTCAATACGCTAAATTAGTGATGACATAATTTTGGTTCCACTGACAATTACAGTGATAGCATTTTTTTTTGAGTGCGTTTTGTTCATTTTGTTTACCTAAATTATATTTTTTTGAACTTTGATAAATATATTACTAGAATAAGTAGATAAAATGCATAAAGTATATAATTATTTAGTAACCAATTACATACTTTTAAACGACTTTTTATGGCATGCAAATAACATTTAATAAAAAAATAAAAACAATAAAAATGTATGTGCCAAATATTGTTAGAAGTACGGTTAGAATTAACTGTCAGTAGAACCAAAATTGCGTCACACTTTTATGGCGTATAAAAGAGTTTCATTCAGCCTTTTTTTTATTTATTGAACCTTTTACGAGCAAAAATCCGCTAAGTTCACTAGTGTAATTACGAACACTGTACTGCAAAAAAATAAGTTATGAAATATCGCCCAATTCTATTGGACTTTCATTAATATGATGTTTCTATCTTTAAAGATTTACATATGGGTAACAAAGATACTTTACAAATTAGGCTATTAGTGTTTCCAGAATTTTTTAAGAAATTTGTAAAAAATAACTGATCAAGTTGGCGGTAGAGGCCGATGCACTATTCCATCGCATCAACTTGGCTTTATTTTCAGAACTGACGGTCTAATTATATCCTATCTAAAAATCGAATGGAATCAATACCACCTGTCGATTGGAGTATTAACAATTTGCCAAAATGTCTTACCATCAGGCTGCCTCTGTCTATGAAACACGTAAACATTAAAAGGCCTGCTAATATTAACAACAATATTTTTTTCCTCATGTTTAAATTTATGAAGTTCCAGTATACTATTATTATACCATGAAGAAACGAAAATGCTATTTTGAAAAACGGTAATTCCATATAAATTTTGAACTTTGGTCCCTCTAAGAACAGTTTTTCTATTTTGTCCATTGTAATCTACACGTTCTACATAATCCAAGTATGTGTCTACCCAGTAAACTCTTTTTGTAGGGAAATCTACAGCTACTCCATATGGATAGACTATTGTATGGTCCACTATGGCTTTACGGCCTGTGCCGTCCATATTTATACGTTCTAACATCGGAGGTGAATGACCCCATTTTGTGAAGAACAGATATCCACTGGTAGGGTCCAGAGCAATTGCTCTTGGTTTACTTAGTTCATATTCAACAAGGATATTACACCAGCTAAAAAATAAACAAAACGTTATTTTATCTTTAAAAACTATTCATAATTTAGATTTGTTTATTTCGGTAAATTACCTTAAATCGTTAGTACACACAAGTATAACTTCTCTCTGATCATCCATAAAATACCAATTTTCAGTAATCCAATCCAGAGCAAATTGCTGTATCAAATCTACTTCCAATAAAGGCGATTTCTCAAGTACGACCCACCTTTGGTTCAAATCGTTGACATTCGCACATACTAGTGATGCTTTTGAAATATTATGATGAACGTAACAAACTGTATGATTACGGTGTATGAATTCTAAAGCATTGCTATTTAAAAGTCGAAGAGTTGAATTTCCTGGGAAGGATTTTCCTTTGAGTGTAACTCTCCGTATTTCGGTTTGAGTGGAAAATATTAGAGATGGAGGTTCCGACGGTGGAACTGAAAATATATATATTTAGTTTCCTTTAAAAAGGTAGTTCAAATTATTGTTGATACTTACAGTTGACAGCTACACAATCTGTTCCTTCAGCTCGATATCCTGAAACACAGGAACACTCGAAGGAGCCTTGGGTATTCTTACAAATTTGTGAGCAAGAGTCATCGAGCTCACATTCGTTAGCATCTATGCATAAATTATCTGAAGGCTTCTTTCCTTCTGGACAGTAACATAGTGGTCCTTTGGGAGTCAGTTTGCATCCAAAAGAACATTGCAATCTAAAAATGATAAAATGAAATAGAAACTTATTTACTGTTTTAGCATTTAAAAAACTTAAATATCTACTTTTTTCATTGTTCTGAAAGATCTATTCATGGAAAAAAATCACCAGCTAACATCTATGAACCAGAAGGTGAATAATTAAATATTAAGCGACTAAAATGAGATCTTTTCACAGCACTGAAGGTGTACGGAAGTAGCTGGATGCAAAATGAGAAGCTAAAGGCAAAGAATACCTACCCAAGAAGCGAAACTAAATGGGCGATTCGTGGACAAAAAACTGCCAAGTTTTCTCAGTGTTTTAGAGGTGGTTTAACGTCAAATATATAGCTGTCAATTTATGTAGAGCAACCAGAGCAACGTTTGGTATATTATTATTCCCGTTTTGTGAAAATTGCAGTATAGTTAAGTAGTTGTATTTAACTAAGTAGTAATTAGAAATTAGATAGTTTTAAAATTTAAATTACAAGAAATAAAAATACATTGCGTTATTCGTAAATTTTATTAAACGTTCTTGCATCTGGCTGTCAATGTTTTGTTTTAATTTCTAAATCAGTATTACCTATAATGATAATTTACGCCTACGTATTATGCATTATTTAATTTCTTACTCTTTTATTTAAATATGTTATTTTTTTTGTTTTTCAAACCATTCAAATTAAAACAGTAAATAAATACAAAACAATAATTAAAATATATGACAAACTAACTTCGAGAAACCAAGTCGCTGCTATCAGGATGCAATCGAAATGCATTTACAGCTACCTACAGTACTTCTGGATATGTAACGTGTAAAGGGTGGGTTATCCAACGGCATTAGGCCTCACTATTCCCATTGTGTATCCTCAGAAAATGATAGGCACCTCCTAGCTCATGAGCCAGCCTACACATTTAATGAAGTTGACAACGTCGCCAAGAGGTGCTTCTCTTATATCGGCCGGTGTTAGCCAATACTCGCCGAAAATAAATGAGAGCGACTGGCAATCGTAGAGGATATGTTCAATGGTTTCATCTTTTTGTTTGCACCCCCTGCAGGGTGCGAATTCTGACAGTCCCATGATATGGAAATGCTTCCGTACTTGGCAATGACTAGTCAGAATGCCTGTGATAAGACGCAGATTCTGCCTAATCATAGTCAAGTATTTGTTTGTTGTAATGTTGTCAGGATAACTTAAAATCTCCCTGGTTACTCAGCAGATTCTTGTTTCATCCCATCTTTCCTTTAATTTCACAAGAGAATATTCTTTATTTGGGTCTGTCACTACCGATGTTGTCAGTCCAATAGAAGGGCCAGGTCCAAAAAGTATTTGGTTGGCCACCATCTTGGCTAGTGAATCAGCAATAAGGCTACCTTTCGTTGTGGCGTCACCTTTGCTCCATATTGGATGGATACCCTTGCCAAAGCTTCGTGACATTCTAGTACTAACCCTGAGTAAATTCGTAATATGTTCAGGGTAAGTAGTGCTTTTCTGCTATCTGTATGGATGAGTATGTTCCTACCAGCGATTTCTTTTGCTGCTATGAAAACCTCCGTCAGCTCCGTGAACTACATTGGCACTATTGCGAAGTTTATGTTGAGATTTAAGGAATTGGAGTATATTCCACACCCTGGGCATTGTTTTGTTTTAGAACGGTCTGTGTAGATATGTATCGTACCTGCCACTTCCGGCTCTTCTATTTGTTTTGTTATAACTTTATATGGCTTATGGAAGATATAACTCGGTGAGATAAGGTTCATGTTCGCTTGAAGCAGTTGGAACGTATCGAGCGCCTTTTGCCAAAAACGACTCCTCACTCGCCTCACCAGATCGTACGTCAGATTCTATTCCAACGGTGCAGAGGCGTGTCATTGTCATCAGAGCAGTCTCCTTGATGTAAATATCACGGGGAGTGAGACTAAGAACGACTACCATAGCTCTGGTTGGTGTGGTTTTCATAGTTCCTGTTATGTTGAGACATGCTGTTATTCGAATTTATTCTATTTTGCGGATAGCTGTCAATTTTTGGATTTTCGGTACCCATCAGACAACTGCACCGTATTTTAGCATAGGTCGTATGATGGCCATGTAAGTCCATGTGACGACTCTGGGAAAGAAACCCCAGGTGCGCCCCACGGTATAATGGCATTGTTCATAAGTAATGTATGCTCTTTTGACTCTGTTTTCTAATTGTGAGTTCCATGTTAACTTGTTGTCAAAGGTGTTACCTAGACACTTCACCTCTGTTGCAAAGTTTTGTTTTGTGTTTAGGAGATCTGTAGGTTTTAATTCCATTTTCATCATTTCCTTGTGAAGAGGATTATTTCTGTCTTCTTGGGATTGATAGACAGTGAATGGTCCTTGCACCCCTGTTCCATAATTGTTCTCAAAATTCCCTATTTGCAGAATGACCGTTATCAACTTGCGCTATTGTGTAGTGACTGTTTCCTACAGTACTTATTTTGTTATTAAAATAATATATTTGACATAATGAACATGTTAAGATTTTTCTGTCATTGTTACTTTAGTATGTGTTTAATTCTTATGAACCAAACGACAAAAACTGATTAATTTTTATACGTTTCCCAGTGTATTAAGTTCCCTTGCCTTGGTACATACGAAAACTCATTCAGTTTCGCTTCTTGGGTAGGTATCACATACTTTGATTTTCTTTTACTATACGGAGAATGGTCGCACTGCGCAACTTTCTGAGTGCCTTTTAAAAGGAGTTAGAAAACTCCGCCATTTTGAACCCTTATTACGTGTTGCCTACATCTTGGCGCAATATTTTTAATAGGTGCGTTTTAATCATCCGCTTCTGCTTCGGAATTGTCGGTTTTCTTGTTTTAATGTGACAGGTTAAAACGACTAAATCGACAATTCCGGAAGCAGAAGCGGATGATTAAAACGCACCTGATATTTTGCTTGCTGCTGTCAGTGTCAGTGAATATTATTTTTGAAGTCACAGTTTATTGCTAAAGAATCAGTTAGCTCACTCGGACCAGTTGAAAGTTCCAAAATAACATCCACTCCAGGGATACAAATTCAGGATACGCAGAAGACTGCTGTTTTATTATAGGCGGTTGGCATATATTGTATTATCCGAGTTGCACAGTGTATAAACTGAAACATTGAGATCAAAAGTGCCGACGCAGAGTGAGCGATCTGATTCTTTAGCTGTAAACTGTGTCACAGGGTTCAAAATGGCCGCGCCCTATGTTGGGCGTGTCGGACCTCTCTCTTGCCTCGTATAGTAATCAAAGTATGTGGTAGGTATTCTTTGCTAAAGGGCAAATTGATCTGATCTTTTATAGAACGTCAATTAAGTTGGTTCGGTCCACAGTTCGTAACCATGAGTTCGACTGGTTGACAAATGCATGAAGTATGAAGACTAGACTAGTCTTCATAGCATGAAGGTAATATGGGATCTTAAGACAATAGTCTAAGTATGGGATTCAGATGGTAACAAAAGAAGGTAGACAAGACAAATTGGATATCTTTGACAGGAAACTTTTTTAACAAAAACATCATAGACTGGTTAATATAAATTAATATACGAGTATAAGTATTTGAAATATAAATAGTGCTGAAAATAAGTATTTGAAATAAACTACTGTTAGTTTTTCAATAAATTAGTGAATATAGTTGTAAGTGTATTAAATAATAAACTGTTATAAATAAATAAATACATAAATAAATAAATAAATAAATAAATAAATAAATAAATAAATAAATAAATAAATAAATAAATAAATAAATAAATAAATAAATAAATAAATAAATAAATAAATAAATAAATAAATAAATAAATAAATAAATAAATAAATAAATAAATAAATAAATAAATCCATAAATAAATAAATAAATAAATAAATAAATAAATAAATAAATAAATAAATAAATAAATAAATAAATAAATAAATAAATAAATAAACGTTAAAATATTTATAAGAGTTCCAGGTGGTTCTAGCATTACAATGGAATTAGAGATGGACAGTAAAAAATCCGTAAATTTACATAGCGATACAGTACATTTATCGATTTATTACTGCCCATATCTAAATTCCCAAGATACGAGAGCAGTTCTCTTTCCGTTGAGCCTAGTAATGTTAAACAAAGTTTACTTACAAAAACATTTATTTATAATTGTTCTGGCCGTAATTTAATTTCTAAAGGCATCAACCGCTTCTTCAGTAGATGTAAAATATAAAGTGCATAGGTATTCTACCGAGAACAAAGCTTACAGACTTTCAAACCAATCTTTAAAGTTGCTTAAATGTTTCTAACAGTAATGTGCCTGCCGATTCTCTTTAATCATGTACCGAATAAGATCAATTAGGCATTCCAACGACCTGTCAAACAATAGCCTCACTGGAAGCTATTGTTTGACAGGTCGTTGGAATGCCTAATTGATACATCTGAGGGGGTAGCGACATAGTCTTGCATCTTGGATGTTTTTTTTTTATTCGAAATAGTACTCGCCAAGTCTGCCAATTTATGAAAAAATGTATAAGCGGTTTTTTTTAAATAATATTTTTATTGTGTTGGACAAAATATTTAAATGTAATCCATTATTATGATGGTGGGTGAGGTTTTCCGGGTTTTCCTCACCTGTAAGTCAAATGGCACCATCAATCATCTTTAAGTCGCCCCGGAGCGCCACGGCAAATAATAATAACCGTCACTTTCCCCGCACAAGCTCAGCTTTTGGGGTTAAAATTCACTCGTAAGTGGGTGAATTAGGGGGAGTATTATTATTATTATTATTATTATTATTATTATTATTATTATTATTATTATTATTATTATTATTATTATTATTATTATTATTATTATTATTATTATTATTATTATTATTATTATTATTATTATTATTATTATTATTATTATTATTATTATTATTATTATTATTATTATTATTATTATTATTATTATTATTATTATTATTATTATTATTATTATTATTATTATTATTATTATTATTATTATTATTATTATTATTATTATTATTATTATTATTA